AAAAAAAAGAAGAGGGGGCTGGAGAGATGGCTCAGTGGTTAAGAGCATTGCCTGCTCTTCCAAAGGTCATGAGTTCAATTCCCAGCAACCACATGGTGGCTCACAACCATCTGTAATGAGGTTTGGTGCCCTCTTCTGGCCTGCACACACACACACACACACACACACACACATATACAGAATATTGTATACATAATAAATAAATATTTAAAAAAAAAAGAAAAAGGAAGTAATACCCTCAAATTCAGCTTCCTGAGGGTTGGACCAAACAAGGAAGGGTCTCTCTGTTGGAGCTCTGCTTGTTTGATCGCCCTGGCCATCAGACTTGGATGGCACAGGCACAGACAACAACATGTGAGAAACCTACAGAGATGGGGTCACAGGGGACAGAAGACTTCATCCGACTCAGACCAGGGGTGAGCACTGGCCAGAGAGGGTACAAGCATGGCCTGACAGACACCTGTTGTCCTCCCTCCCCAGTTTCTTCCCGTTGTTTTAGAGGTTAACTGGGAAGCACAAAGGCTATGAGTTTTACCCAGAAATATATGTATCTTGAAGTGGTAATGCAGTATAGAAACACAGAGAGCATACTTTCCCCTACTGTTTGAAGGAAAAAAAATTTTTTTAAGTCATGGGGAAATAAAAATAACACCAGTGCAATCTCTAAGCAAAGAATTTCTCAAGATTTTGACTAAGGCATCCCACCTGTGTTAATAAGACTTTAAAAAAATTTTTTTTTATTTAATGTGTATAGGTGTTTTGTCTGCATATGCTTGTATACCACGTGTGTGCCTGGTATCCACAGAGGCTTGAAGAGGGTATCAGGGTCTCCTGGAACTGGAACTACAGACAGTTGTGAGATGTCACGTGGTCCTGAGACTTGAACCTGGATCCTCTGGAAGATCCAGGGCCATCTCTCCAGCCCCCAGTCATCACTGTGACAAACAGAGAGGAGAAATAACTCAAGCAAGGGAAAAGTCACTTTAGCTCCTAGCTGTAGTTCATAGTTGGCTGGCTCTGTCAGGCCAGAACATCATGGTTGCGTTGGAGGCAGATCATCTCGCGGTAGCCAGGAAGCAGACAGGAGGAGGAAGGGGTTAGAGTAAGCACCCCTTAAATTGGTATTCCGCAACAAGCACCTGCTTACTCCATTGACTGTGCAACTGTGTGGCTGCCCCTAGCATCCTCCTCTACTTGTTCTCCTTGGTCTCTCTTGCTTCCTCCTTCCTTCTTTTTCTCCTTCTGTTTATTCTCTCTGCCTGCCAGCCCAGCCTTTACTTTTTCCTGCCTTGCTATTGGCTGTTCATCTTTTTCCTAGACCAATCAGGTGTTTTAGACAGGCAAAAACCACTGCTTCACAGAGTTAAACAAACGCAACATAAAAGAATGTAACACATCTTTGAGTCATTCAACTAATGTTCCCCAGCATGAACAAACGCAGCATGCCTTAAACTGACATTCCGCAACAAGCACCTGCTGTTTTGTTTTGATGTTCTGGCTCTGTGGCTCAGGCTGGTCTGGAACTTGTCACCTTCTGGGGATTGGCTCAGGTTGTAGACTGGAGTTTTCATTTGGTTCCCTGCAAATTCCTATGCTGAAATCTTAACTCTTAATTGATGGTTTTAGGAAGTGAAGCCTCAGGAGGTCATAAGGCCTGGAGAGTAGAGGTCTGAGCAAATGGAATTAAGAGCCTTGCAAAGAGATGCCCAAGATTTTCTTTCTTCTTCTATTTTTATTTTTTGTTTTTACATCCCAACTGAAGTTTCCCCTCCCTCCTCTTCTCCTGGTCACTCCCCTTGCCCTCTCCCCACTCCACCCCTTCTCCTTGTTTCTCTTCTGAAACCAGTGGGCCTCCCAGAGGGCTTAGGTCAGTCCCATGCAGGCTCCCAGGTGCTGTTTCAGTCTCTGTGAGCCCCTATAAGCCCAGGGTAGTTTTTTTTTTATTAAAATTTTTCATTTATTTTACATCCTGACCATAGCTTCCCCTTCCCTCTGCTTCCCATCCCTCCTCCCCACCCCAACCCACCCCTCCTACACCTCTGCTGGTTGGGCTAGGGTTGTTTCAGACAAGAAAGTGAATGAATGGGAAGTCATTAGACCATAACCTCATAAGGGAACTGTTAAACCCAAAAAGGGATCAGGCTCTTCCAGACAGGCAAATCGAAGCATGGGAAGGGTGTGACACAGATTCTCTGGTGCTGACTTTGAAGAAGGCCACCACATGACAAGCAGGGCATACAGCCCCTAGGGTTGTGCCGGGCCTTGTCTGTTAGCAAGGAAGCGGGATCCTCAGACTGAATTTAGCCAACCCTGAATGAGGAAGTCATTCTTCCTCAGAGCCTGCAGAAGGAACACAACCTGACTGAAACCCAATTTAACCTGTGAGACCTGGAGTAGAGACTCCACAGTGGATCTGACCCTGGATGGCCATCTTGTTCCAGCCTTATCATTGGAAACAAAGAACTTCAAACCATCTCTCCCAGAATTGCCAGCAAGATGCCAACAACGAATAGCTGTGATCTCTTTAGAAATAAATCTAGGCCACACACCTGCACCGTCTCCGTTAGACAGGAGTGCGATCTTCCCCAAGTAACCCCTTCCCTTTGCTTCTGGAAAAAACCCAGCGGCAGCAACTTTTGTAGTAAGGTGGCTTTGATCACAGACTCCCGGAAATTTCTCTCTCAAGCAAGCTGTCCTCCAAAGTCTATGTGACGGGCCATAGCTCCCCTCCACAAAGTGTCCATTTTGCTCAGGACATCTGACCAGGTACTTCCTGACCTCACAGTGGCCCTGACACCGGCAACTACACAGAGAAACGCCTGTATTGTTAGCCCTTTCGTGATGCCCAGTTCACTAGGCAAGCTCTGGTTCCTCGTTTGATGCTGGGCAGAAAAACCACGTGGTTCCTACAATGACCAAGTGTACCCACGAGCAGGCAGTGTGATCTCTTTTAAAAACCGCCCCAGTCCATGAGATTCCCCAGCTCCATGGGCTCTCAGTGCTTCCTGGATCTCCAGGTAGGCCCGAAGAGAACATGCCTGTGTTTGCGGCAGTGGACCCCAGCCTTTGGACGTCCCTTCCGTGGTTGGCTGGCTAGCCTCTTCACTCGCTATACAGGTGAGATCATTGTACAGTTCCCTTTTCTGGGAACCCGAGTGGATGCAATTCCCCAGGTTGACCCCATAAACAATCCTACCCAGGCTTCAAAGGTAGCTTCGGAGAATGGAAATCACCTGAACTTCCTCCGTGCCTTGATTGGCTTCACTGGAGGACAGGAGGAAGCTTGCTTAATTAAAGCAGGCGGCCCAAGCACGGACGGGTGAGCCACTGGGCGGCGCCTGTCCTAGTGGTCATGGCAGGGACTCCAGGGCACTGGGCTTTTTGTGACAGAGCATCGGGTGACGGGCAGACTATCCGGCGGCCCGGGCGAAGCGGGCGCCCTGTGCTGCGGGCCGCGGCAGACAGGGGGCGGTCGCGCCCACTTCCTCCGCCGCTCGGCACCCGCGGGGCGGCGCACCCGGGTGGCAGCACTGCGCCCAGACCTTCCCGGCTGCGGCGAGGCGGCCCTCGGCGCGCTCAGATTCCACCGCGCGCTCTGCGACCCGGCTGCGGAGCGTTTGGCTGCCCGCATGGACGCGGCGCTGAAGCGGAGCCGCTCTGAGGAGCCGGCAGAGCTCCCGCCACCCGCCCTGGAGGTGGAGGAGAAAGAGGAGGAGGAAGAGAGGATGGAGCAGGGCCTGGAGGAGGAGGAAGAGGTGGACCCCCGGATCCAGGTAAGACGAGGGAGAGGAGCCCCCGGCCCCACCCGGCCAAGGCTGCCACGGAAGTCGGCGTCTACGCGGACCCACGCCTTGCAGCCCCGGGTGTCTTCGGTCGCTGGGTGGAGGCCATTTAGGTTCAGGACCTGCACCGAGGCTTGGGACACCCCATTTCACTATCTCCCCGCGGGAGGCTGCCGTGCCCGCGTGGACGTGGCCTGATTATTTGGGGGATCCCTGTAGACCTTTGGCCCAACCCGAGGGTCCTTGCAACGCAACCAGCGGTTCAGGCGGATTGCAACAAAGGGAAAAGGGGGGCGGGGGCCCCGAGCAGAGTCGGGGTACCTTGGTGCGGCTCTCGATACCCTGAACGCTGCACAGCCTCCGGGTTTCAGAGCAGCTTTACCCCGGTTGCGTGGACGCGGACACCATGGTGTGCAAGCGGGGCCGGGTGGTTGTCGCCTGCCCCTGCGGCGTGAGCTGCACCGGTGCCCGGCACCGCGTAGCCCTCACCTGGCAGAGATGCCTGGTCGCACCCGCCCTCATTTTTTGGTTCATTGTCAACACACACAGAGGGCTTCGTTGCCTTGGCCTGAAACTGTCTAAAACCCTGCTTTTCCTTGAGGTCGGGTGTGAACACTAACTAGGGACAGCTGATGTGCAAAGCAGACGCGTGGAGGCAGAGAAGGGAATGGCCTGGCTTTTCGTGCCTCCATTTCCAGGAGAAATGATTAAAAAGCAATTTCTAAGCGAGATCCAGAAGTGACAGCTTAACCCCTTCACCCTCCTAAGCAGGAAGCACAGCAAATTCCTTTCCGTAAATCTTTTTTTTTTTTTTTTTTTTTATTGCTGTTAAGCATGTTCTGCAATTTCTGGGTCGGTAATTGGTTTTAAGTGCACAGGAAGAAAAAGCTTGTTTTTAATTCAGTGGTTACGTTTTAAATTCATTGTTTTTTTTTTTTTTTTCAAATTAATACACTAAAGATCGGCGAGATCTTAGCTACTCTTAATTCAGACCATAGGTTTGGTCTACGGAATTTTGTGGTTTTAGCGTGTGTTAGCAAGACCCTTTGTTCAGAGTAGAGATGAGTTAACTTCATGCTGGCAACTTCTTACGAACTGTCAGGTTGTAAATGTTTAAAAAGAGCAGGGTTAATGCTAGTTAACCAACAATGTCCCCAGTCAGGAAGACTGAGTAATGGCGACTAGGGAAGAACATCCATCTATAGGAAAAGACAGACCACTGAGGGGCCAACGCGAGAAGTCCGTCTTTTACTTGTCTGACTCACTGGGTTTGTGATTTGGCTTGGTCTTCCGCAAAGTTCTTCTCTAAAGCAAAGGGTTTTGACTGGGTGACTTACTGTTTGTAACAGCTAGTTCGCCTAGGGGGAAATGACCTTTCAGGGAAAAATAAATCCCTAGGACCTTAAGGTGTTGTCAAAAAAGGACAGTGACAAAAGGTTTTAGAAATGCCAAGCCCGGCAGTGGCGGTGTACTCCTTTAATCCCAGCACTCGGGGAGGCAAAGGCAGGCGGATCTCTGTGAATTCGAGGCCAGCCTGGTCTACAAGAGCTAGTTCCAGGACAGGCTCCAAAGCTACAAAGAAACCCTGTCTCAAAAAAAAAAAGAAGAAATGCCAAATGCTTTGTTTTTAAGCCAAACCACCACTGTTTTAAGAATGAACTGTCATCATTGAGGGTGATTTTCCAGGTGTAGACTAAGTTACTCTAGTAACGAAAGGCATATCCTTCAAATCTGTCTCTCTCTCTTCATCAGGGAGAACTGGAGAGGTTAAATCAATCCACGGATGACATCAACAGACAGGAGACCGAACTTGAGGTACGGAGAGCTGGGCCACTGTTCTTGAGTGAAATCGTGTCAGCACCCTTGACCCTGGGCTGGTTTACTTTAATAGCTGGAGGTTGACTGCAGGAGGCCCCTACTCTGGTGCCTGACAGCCAACTACACCAGAGCCCAGGCTGTGGGCGGACGCATGTGGATCCAATTTCATGTGTTGTTTTCATTATGGAGACTCCAGTGGGGCCAAAATCAAGGGCTGAGTAGAGTATTAAACAGTACTTATGTCCCAGATGTCCTGGTATCTGTGGAAAAGCTGAGAGAATTGTGGTTTAGCTGAACTCTTTAATGGAGAAGAATGAATGAATTCACATCTCTTCAGTGTTTTATTTAGGGTGCCCCCTCCCATTCATGCTTGGAGCTGTTTAAGGTTTCTTTCCTCAGACTTGCCAGATATTTTACCTTCCCATACCGATAATTCACTCCTCTTTCCACATTCTTGCTCATTCCCTTGTTTTCTGCGTGCATAGAATGTAATTATCTTAAGGGTAACAAAAAGCTGTTTGGACTGGGAAGGGCTTTCCTGCTGGGAAAAATCTTGGGAGATAACATCTTGATTTGAATTTGAAGATTTTCCAGCTTCCCGTAAACAAGTTCGGGTTCTCCGAAGCTACCCATTTCTAGTAGTGGTTGGGGATGCTAGCCAAGGTGAGTGACTGTTGGCTGAGGGACTACCAAGTGTTGTGAGAACGCCAGGCCCCTCAGAGTGAGGGTGTGGGGGATGAGAAAATACTTTGCTAGAATTTATTGGCAGCCCGCTTTCTGATAACAGCAGATACATGTTGGCGGTGAGTCCACAGGCGGCTGTGGGGCGGCTCATCCATCACTCATTCTCATGCTGATCTATATAAGGAATTGGCAAACTTCGTGAAGTTGAGCAATTGAAAACTCTCGATCTCAGGTTTCTAAAACATTAAACAAACAAGCAAAAATATCTTTACCATTTCTAGGGAACAGTAACAGAAACCAAAGGTTTTCCCTAAGCTTTCATTTGGTCCTGTTATAGCAGCCCAGAGCTCTGGATAGTTGACTATGGAAGTCATGAGTGCTCATGCTTTTCGTTTTGTTTTCTTAAAAAAAAAAAAATCTCATGTAGTCTTGGCTGACTTTAAACATTCAGTATATAGTGGAGAATGCCTTTGAACTCTGGGCCACTCACCCTTCATCTAGGTACTGGGGTTACAGGCCTGTACCACTATAACCAGCTCCTCTGAATCTTTAATGTCTGCATCCCAGTGTACATAGACAAGTTGGAAAAATTATTTTTTGTTTCGAGCCAAAGTTTTGGCTTGTTTATGTTAGCAGCATTGGAATGAAGTCCAGGGCCTTATGCACACTAGACAAGCATTTTACTGATGGACTCGTGAAACCAGCGATGAACAGAAATCAGGAACAGCTGGCTAGGCATAGCACACGTGTCTGCAGTCCCCGCACCTGGGAAGCAGAGGCCAGGGGAATTAGGAGTTGAAGGTCACATAGCCAGAACCAAGTTTGAGGCCCGTAAGACACTGTCTCATGGAGGGAAGGGGGAGAGAAAAGGAAGGAAGGGAAGGAGGGAGGGAGGGAGAGAGGGAGGTAATCAGGGACCATTGAGGCAGAGGCAGAAAACTGGAGATGGCAAGGGGGTGGTCTGGCTTTCTGTTTCTGTTTCCAAGAGAGATAATAACCTCGTTTGTCCCTTTTGTTTGCTTAACCCACTGTTGTCACCATTCTGGATAATGAACAAGATAATCCCATAGCCCCATAGCTCATTCTCCATGGCACCTGCCTTATGGGGGTTAGCTTGGTTCATTTGTTAAACTCTTTTTAGTCCTCATTTCCGAATTCCACAGATTTTGTGTGTCACAGGAAGCCACTGGACAGGTGTTTCCTGCCAGGCTCTGGGGCACATTCGGAGCCCTGGTGTATTAGGAACAGAGCTTATAGAATGAATCTCTTTCTATATAGAAGGATGTTTATTAGAATGGCTTAAAGACTGTGGTCCAGCTGGGCCAACAATGGCTGTCTACCAGTGGAAGGTTCAAGAAGCCAGTCCGTGAGGCTGATGTCTCGGCTGGGCTTCAGCATAAACCAGAATCTTGAAGAAGCAGGCTTTAATACCAGTGAAGGAATGGACTTGCAGCAAGAGTGAGGGCAAAGAGCTTGCTTTCTTCTTCCATGTCCCTTATATAGACTTCTGCCAGCAGAAGGTGTGGCCTACGTAAAAGTGGATCTTCCCACCTCAAACCACCGGGATTGAAAATGTGTATTCCCACTTCATATGATGTAATTTAGAAAAAAAATCCTCCACAGGTGTGCCCAGCTGCTTGGGTTTTAGCTAATACCAGATGTAGTCAGTTGACAACCAGGAATTCACACCTGAGTGGTATGAGCTGGGCGGTTTGATGAAGGTAGTCTGGCTGGGTTGTGTTGCTGGGTGGCCTTCCTCTGGTGTAGTCACAACCAGGACCAACTCAGAGAAGTTATATACACCGCAGAAGCAATTTTAAAACTCCCTGGATGGTATGTTAAAAATTACAGAAGACAGCCTGGCAGTGGTGGCACACGCCTTTACTCCCAACACTCGGGAGGTAGAGGCAGGTGGACCTCTGAGTTTGAAGCCAGCGTGGTAGAAGCCAGAGAGTTCCTGGACAGCCAGGGCTACACGGGAAAACCCTGTCTAAAACAACAACAAAAATTACAAAAGACATAGGGGGAAATTAACTGTAATGTGTTTTCTTTAATCCAGAATATTCACAGTAGTATAAATTCAACAGGGAGTCGCTAATAAATAACAATGATTAATCTGAGGGTTGGCAGTGTGGCTCGAGAGAGGAATGGCATGCTCAAGGCCCTGGGTTCACTCTCTGGCGGGTAGGGGTGTACGTGGCCCTTTGGTGGAAGCTGGTATCCTGGACAAGCTAGAGAAGCACCCTTCAACCATACTGACCCCAGCAACTACAGATGTCTGTGCTAGGTCTTCAAAATCGGTGCAGTTTTCACTGTGAGGGCATTCCCTTTATAACCTACTGTTATTTTTTTTTTGTTTTTGTTTTGTTTTTTAGGTTTTTCAAGACAGGGTTTCTCTGTAGCTTTGGAGTCTGTCCTGGAACTAGCTCTTGTAGATCAGGCTGGCCTCGAACTCAGAGATCTGCCTGCCTCTGCCTCCTGAGTACTGGGATTAAAGGCATGCGCCACCACCGCCCATTTTAACCTACTGTGTTTGGTCACACAGTGGCTCTGTGTGACCCTGGACTGCACAGGGCTAGCAGTATTTCTTGTCAAATTCATGATCATATTGCTCCAGTCTGGAGTTGAGAACCATGTGTTTGTGTGAAGCCCTGGCCTCCAGCATTGGGTCAGGAACTGTGCCTGGGTAAACAAGACAAAGCCTTGCCCTCAATGAGCTGAGGAATGAGGAGCTGAGTAACTTTTATATACAACTGGGGAGTGCTATGCTGCAGACCCCTGGGCAGAAGCATGGAGTAAGAAGGCATCCATTGGATAAGCTCAGCACAAAGAGAAAGCAATGGTGTGGGGCTAGGGCTGAGGGTGTAGGTAGAAAATGTAGGTAGCCAGGCTCGCTTCTGTAATCCTAGCACTTGGGAGTTCAACGGTACCCTCAGTTACATGGTGAATTTGAGACCAGCCGGGGCTACATGAAACTCGTATACAAAATCAAAATGTACTGGAGAAATTGAAGCAGGAGAATTACTTTGAATTCGGGAGCAGTGGGCTATGGTATGAGACCCTGGCTTAAATAAAAATAAATAAATGAATGAATTTTTCAAAGGTCAAGCATTTGACTGCTGATGGACATATGGCTGGAGGCCCGAAAGAACCTGCCTCTATTTTCCCGTGAACACGTTTAGTGTTCACCAAGTTAGTGATCACAGCTGTGGCTAAGAGCGGGTTCCACAGCTTCTCCAGCATGGTAGCTCATGCCTATAACTGGGAGGCTAACTGGGTTTTAACTTTGTCCCCAGCCTGTTAATCCCGGTACTTAGCAGGTGGAGGTCCATCAGTGTTCAAGGTCAGCCCAGGTCCTGTCTCCAAAAAACATAGACACGTATTCTGTCAGGCAGGGAGCTACAGACCCAGCTCCCACTTAGAAGGTGGAGGCAGAAGATAGCAAGGTCTGCCTAGATTATGGGGAGAGTTCAAGGCTAGCCCAGTAACTAGCTGAGACCCTGACTCAAAGCTTGTGAAAAGGGCTGGGGATATGGCTCAGTGGTGGATCACTTTTCAGTATGTGGTAAAACGCTGCCTCCAATCTCTAGAACCTCCCTCCCCAATAAAAAAACCAAACCTACTTATTTAATGTATATTATCAATTCACTAACATTGAACTAACACATGCTCACCTATTTCCCATTTAGTCCATGTTACGTTAGAGTTCAACACACACATTAGTTATCACTTACAGCATCATGACACTTGTTTGACATTGTGTGTGTGCGCGCGCGCGTGTGTGCGCATGTACACAGAGCTTCCCTTTAATCACCATCCCTCACCTTGGCAAACAGCTTCCCTGTCTCAAGTCAAAATTCCTATCCATGCGCTTTAATCTATGGGTACCATTATTTCTGGCAGCCAGGAGAGTTCCCTCGGCAGTGTTTTTAATTCTCGCGTGCAGGGTGTTCACCACTGAGGCTCTGAGTGATTTGAGCTGATATCCGAATACATTGCTCAGCTTTCCATTACTCTGACAAAATGCCCAACGTAACCAACTTGCAAAAAGGAAAAGGCCCACAGTTTTGGACGTTTCAGTCATTGGTTGACCTTACTGCTGCGTCTGGAACTGTTGTGAAGCACAATATTATGATGGGAATGTGTGGTAGGGATTTGTTAGGCATTGTCTTAAAAATGTAAAAAACAAAACAGAATTCCACAGTTGACCATAACTGCTGGTGGATTACAGGAGTATGCCACCACATCTACCTGGATAGTCTTAAAAATGACTTTTTTATTTGAGACAGTCTCACTATATAGCTCTGGCTGTC